ATAAAAAAAGAAACATGCTCGGAAGGATAGCGGGAATAATTTTTTTTCACTAGTAAATAACTACAGAAAAGTTGGTAATTTTTATGAGAAATTTTCCGTTGTAGCTTTGTTTAAAAAATCAAAACTGAATGAACACGCCTAAAAACAACTAAAATATCGTGGCAATTGAATCACAAAACAAATCCCAGGTACTACAGATATATAACTGAGGGATAATTACTGGTTAATAATCTCTTAAACATACACAGTCATGTTATAATAATAATAATAATAATAATAATAATAATAATAATAACGTTTTTTTTTATAAAATAAAACCCACCCTAGTAAGAGTTATGAGAGACTAAAACCCGTGATAGTATAGTTAAAATATATACGTATGACATGCTTTGACTTTTTTCCAGGTGAAATGGAAACTAAAAGATGTCCGCTTAGCTGACATCAGGCCTGTATTCACCAGTCTTGGTTTATGTTATCAGATCAACTCAGGTAATATCCAACCTTGTTAAGACACGCTTTTTATTCTGTAAAAAGAGAAAATGGCAGATCAGTTGAACAAATCAAATCACGTGTATCTTTCAGACAAAAAAAATATCAATTTTTTTATCTTTTATTTTTAAATTTCTACAAAAAAATAAAAATAAAAATTGTTGGCTTGTAAATCATTCTTATTGATATTTATTGATTATTTTCACGTTTAACGTTCTATTTTTCACTGGGAAGATAAATTCTCAATATATATGTATATATCCAAACAACTTAGACAACCATCTACAAGTGGATTTACAGGGGAAAGATATGGGACTACTTGGTGTGTTTTTATCACGTCAAAGAGAATATCTAACAGCCTCCTACGAAGCCGGCTTATCGGTAATACCATTGACTAACGTTCTGTGTAGCAGTGTGTTGATTTTTGTTGATCTAAAATAATATTAATGGTTATATAATGGTGTGTGTAATTAGACTCTGGATAAGCCATATCTAACATAATATAACATCTTTATTTGCCTTTTGCATTGTAAAAACAGTTTCAATTTTCTATTAAAATACATATTTGTAGGTCCACTCACTGTATCGGTATTCCAAACAACTGTACAGTGTCATTAGTACATGCCAGAGCAAAAATTACAATAATAATTGTATAGATAAAATATATACCTATACAAAAATATATAATAATAATAATATAATATACAAATATATATAAAATACAATAATAAATACAAAAATAATATATATGCCTATATCGGCCTAATATGTACATTATTTTACACAACGTTATGATATCTAATTGTTACCAGATTCTTCTCCATGATCCTGAAGACCACCCCGCCATGGATCTTGGTGTATTGTTACCACCTGGTTGTACGAACGTAGTCATCAAACTTAAACATGTAGGTATAGAAATATGGAAAAATAGCTTTCATTTAAGAGAAAAAGTGACTTGGCCAAACTGCTGTTGTCCGACTAGCTGAAATTAACATTTGGTGAATTGTTTTCAATAGATATTGCTGTGCAGATTACTGGTAGTCAGATAGCTCGATTCCGGGATTTTTGGGGCGTGCTGATGTTAAATATCCCCAACAATTCGCATAGTCAAAAATTCCCTCGGGTGTTTTTCTAGGAATAAGTTTAACAATTTGTCACTTCGTTCTCATAAGATGATTCAATGTTTAATGAGAAGAAAGCGGTTGCCATTGAACCAAGATACACCATTATGAGGTACAGTAAAATAATACAGAAAATTCTTTTTTAAATTAGTGAAACTATTAACTGAACTGTGCTGAATTTTAAAACTTCCACTTAAATCCCTTATTTCAAGCATATATAATTTATTGTCTGATAATATTTCATTCCTAAGCATGTAATATATCGCCGATAAATAAAATTTCAGTTGAAGAACCTTCCACCTCCGCATGGCAAATGTGGTGAGAAAACATTGGCTTACTTTAGAAAGTACAGTAAACTCAACTGCGAGGCGGAATGCTTGTACGTATACGTTCAGCTGTACTGGTATGGAAGGGAGGCTAAATATATAGTACGAGACAGACAACTGTTGTGCACGTATATACAATACATATAACGTCGCTGCTCATATTTCAGTCGCACTGTTTGCTTGTTTAACTATGTTCAAATTTCTTTTTTTACTCATTTTTCTGTCGTTCGTTCTTTTCAGATAAATGCATCCATCTTTTCCTTCAAACTTTATTTTCCCGCGCTTCACTTTTTTCTCCGTCTTTCAGTTTTCCGTACACTACGCGTCTTTCCATACACCAACTACTGCAGTATGCATGCAGTACACATACAAGGATACACAGATAATCATATCCACGTGTTCATTTCAGCCATAACCTCACCATGAGGCGGTGCGGTTGTCGTTTAGTTTACTACCCACATGTCCCGGGTTACAGAGAGTGTTCCCCTCAAGACGTATTCCAATGTGTCTTCAATCTCACGAGGCAGAAGACACGGTTTATCCGCCAGTGTGACTGCAGTGTAGAATGTGAGAGTTACAGATTCGAATACACTCTTTCCAGTTCATTTATAGCAAATTCGTCAATGCAGCTCTTACAGCATCTTTTGAACATCACAAAGGAAGAGGTGGAGAAAGACATTGTCGCCACGAAAATCTTCTACGCAGATATGACGTACGAGGAACTTGAACAACAGGAAGCTTACAGTGCGTTGGCGTTAATGGCAGACATTGGTGGCGCCCTAGGCCTCGTTCTGGGAAGCACACTGATGACTCTGGTGGAAATATTTGATTTCTTTTTCGGGTTGTGCATTTCAAACCTTCTCGGTGTGAAAAAGTAATAAAGCGCACGATATATATTTGATGCATTTGACAAGGATAAGGATTACAAGTACGCCTGAAAGATCGAAAGAGAGTATGAACGAGGTAGTTTGTGCGAAAAACTGAAATAGAGGCACTAAAGGACATTCCATATTGTGTATCGACTCCCTGTTCCTTATCATCTAATATCCAGGGTGGCTTCTTTTACTTGTGAAACATTTAACTCCTGACTGCATTCTGTAGATAACCAAGGATTATTATCAACACCAAATATTTCATTTCAAGAATCTCCCCCCTCTCCACCACATGTAAAATGTGGTGAGAAATCGCTGATTAACTATAAAGTAAAGAAGTACAGTCAAGTTAACTGCGAAGTCGAAAGTTAATATGGCCTCGTTCTGGGTAGCACTTTGACGACGTTGGTGGAGACAGTTGATTTCTGTTGTGGGTTATGTTTGTCAAAGATTTCTGGCGTGAAAAAGGGATACAGATGGCCAAGTATTTAGGGAATTTGTGGGAACTTATTTTAACGCATGATCGAAATTTTAATTATTATTTTATTTTATATTCGTGTATACCACGTGTATTTGTCATAAAGTGATTTCATTATATTGCAAATGATAAAACCAGTAACCTTATACCTATTATTCCGCACAATATACAATATTATTATTATTAATATTTACTCATTGTCACATCTTCAGCATCTGTTGTAAAGTAATATTGTATATACATGTACAGTGTTCAAAATAGCACCACGTCATCGTTTAGCGTGCCATGTGGCATCGTTAATTTAATTAAGCATGTCAGTATTGTGTTTACTTAACGTTTATTTATTTAAAGAAAAAAAAACAAATCAAATTAAATGGAACGTGGCACAGGTTCAGGTGTGTTTCTGTGATTACAGATAAGCTGTAGATTATGTTTATTAGACGATGTTGTTAGCATTCATTTATGGTATAAAGTAATAAAGTAATGTAGTTAATTTCAAAAATTTTTCATTAATTTGGTGAATGGTAGAGTCCAAAAGCTCTTTTATCACAACTTAAACATGTTTTTCTTACGATTTCATGTACCGAGTACTCTCGACACGTTATCAGCTCTGTCGCTTCTGTGTGGGATTTAGAAAGTCATGATTGATTTTTTTTCCTAAAATTGTAAAGCTTTTGATCTGAAGTATTATTCATGAATAAATAAAATCAAAACATCCGACAAAATCAGATAACATTTGAAAAGTTATTCGGCCATTTTATCTTCGAATATATAATATATAAGCTAAATTCCACGGCACTTGGAGAGGAGTGCAACAGAAGTAATGGTAAGCTATTAAAGGTTGTGAAAGAAGGAATAAAATCTGTCAAAATTTTATCCACTTGTATTTTCTTGTTATTTTCTCTAAATACGAATTGCACGAATTGTATTGCACAACCAAATGATTAAATCCCCGTGTGTGTATGTTAAATTAGTTTCCAGGACAACATTTAGGGTGAAAAGATTCTCGTCCTAAATAGCGAGTTTGAACCATAGGGGGTTGCTAAGCAGGGGTGGATTGAGGCTGTCTTCTAGATGTAGGTCTTCCTGAAGACAGTCAGATTTTCAAGTTTATATTGACGGGTATCTAATTTTTTTGAAGGTCAAAAAATGGAGAATGGATCAACAAAGAAGATTTGGAAGGCTGTCAGAATATATCTCTGGATCGCCCCTCCTCAGAACCCTAGAAATCACATGTACCATAGCCCTGATTCCAGATTTCCTGGTGAAGTCACAAAACGAATGACATTACAAATATTGATTCTGTTATTAACTCCAGTTTACACGTTTAAAGCATATACAAGTGCTGGTATTATGCTATCTCTATTGATTTCAGTAAACAGCTTGTCATCAATGTGCTCGTTGAGTGGGCGAGAGAAGATGACGCTAAAAGCGCTGTGATATTGATCCCACAAATGTTCAAATACATTAGTGACACATTTCAAACACTTTGGAGGGCTAGAGACATTTTGTTCGCTTAATCTCAACCAAAAGACACGGACTAATTACAAAATATTTATACGGAACCACCATTTAATCTTTGTTTGGTTTTCGTTTTGGTAATTGACTGTCGAAAAAGTCATCCGCGTGTATGTGTGCGGGGAAGGAATAAGGCGTCAGGTTAGTTTTCAGAGATTTTCACAAGCAATGTTAACAGTTTCACCTCGCAGACAGAATGAATCCTGCTACTGTTTATCCGACTCTTCATGTCAAAGACAGTGATCTCAAAGGTGTTAGCAGTAGAAGCATTACTGGGGAGGCAGATGAGGAAGAAACTTCAGCCAAAAACGAATTATCCACCTTTGCAGCAGAAGTCAGCATTCTGGGATTGAAACAATCCGCTAACCCGCGATATTCGTACGCAAGGCGCGCTGTTTGGCTTTGCTTCGTTTTGGCAGGATTTGGAGGTCTGGTTTACCACCTTAAAGACAGAATTGATTATTACCGGTCCAACCCAGCAACAGTCAATATTGAGATCATTCCGAATGATACACTGGTGTTTCCAACGTTAACTCTTTGCACCAACAGTCCATTTAAAGCCAGTAGCTTGAAAGCCAATAACGAGACTGAAGTTGGAAGCCTTTTCGATCAGGTTTTGAATGTTTCAGCAGTTAATTGGACAAGATACGATTTCACTCATACCAACTGGACGGACTTCCATATGCGGAATGGTTTCCAAGTGAAAGACGTATTCATGTCGGTAATTAATAACCTTTTCTTTCAACATAATCGACATACTTTAATTAAAAATTCATATTGTATTTTTAATTAAAATCTTTTCAAACTTAATTACCCAGTGAAACGAAATATCATTTTCGACGTCTGTTTTAATACTGCCAGTTCATCAGGTGGTCACACAACCCGGTATATCCTCAATCATATGAGAGGTTTGTTGTAATAGAAAACATTCGAGATTTACCTAACTAAAAGTCTCGCGTGATACTGTGAGACCAAGCGAGAAGTCGCGGGATTTGGAGGAATGTGGGGTCAGAAATAATGGCAGACTAACGAGTACGGTGCCACATAAATCTAGAGTTATAGACGAAGTATATCCACCAGCTTTTGGTTACATTTTGTTCAACCGCTACGAATTCACTGTTTTGCGTATCACTTTGTTTTGCTTTCTAAGACGGCCCTAATGGAAAAAACTTTTCCCTCTGCCCCGCTGATTCCAATACGTTTTAAAGTTCCGTATAACGCCATGCATGGCACACAGCCTCGTTTTAGGCTACATGTATCTCGGATAATCCCCGTTGCTTTTATACCACCAGGGCCGTAGCCTGAGCAAAATGCCAGGGGGGCAGTAAGCGGACACGAGGGGGCGAAGTCCCCGAGGGGGGAGGGTGTGGGAGTGGATGTCCCCCTCCCACGGTGTGGAAAATTTTAAAAAACTGTATGTATAATACCGCATTCTGGTGCATTTTAACTGTTATTTATTGCTCAATCAGAAGTTAGAAATTGTGGGTTCGTTTTGCCATAAGTACAGTCATTTTTTCAACACAACACGCCAA